TCGACAGCGGGAGCTTCTACTCCATCACCGAGCTCCCGTACGGAGTGGTGAGCTTCGACTCCAAAACTCGAACTTGGTCCGAGGTGAAGGCGGAGATGCCGTCCGGCCTCGCCTCGCCATCGCTGGTGGCGTACAAGAAGAGCCGGCTCTTGATGATCGGACGAGTGAAGGGGAGGAGCTCCGCCACAGCGAAGCCGGAGCTCAAACCAGCGACGGCGATGACGGCGATGGTCGAGGAGGGATTAAAAGTTTGGGAGCTCTCGCACGGTGCCGGGCTCGGGACGTGGACGGAGGTGAACAGGGCCCCGGTGGAGATGTGCCGCGAGTTTCTGGATGCGCTCAAGCCGAGGACGCCGCTGGTTTGCTCCGGGGTGGGGGACTTGGTGTGCGTGACGAGCCACCTCAGTCCAAAGGCGCTGGTTTTCGACGTGAGCCGCGGGAGCTGGCGGTGGCTGCCCAGGGATCCACTCTTCCCGAAGAAGAGGAACTTCCATCTCCTGGGATTTTGTTTCGAGCCAAGGCTGGACATCCAGCCGTGACCGAGAAGAACTGGTGCACTGCTGCTGCTGCTGCTGCTGCTAGACGGCTGGTTTACTCGACCGAAGAAGATGCTCTCACTCGTCACTCGTCGAGACAATGCCATCCATATCTGACTTCCGGACAAGATCCTGCAGCAGCACGAGGTTCTCTCTTTCTCACTTTTTATTTTATGGCCTTCCCTTGTTTTTCGGGTTCTCTCTCTCGCTCTCTTTTTTGCTTACGTTGATCATCCAGCTCCTTGGTGGTGGTGGTGATTCTCCAAATTTTTTTAATGCTTTCTAGGTGGATAAAGATGGCTGTGACTAGATAAGATCAGAAGAGAGCCAGCCAGCTGCATCATCAATCACCATTTGAAAACAAGCAAGCAAAGCAGGCAAGATCTTTCTTGGTGTTTTTTTGGCTCAAGATATATACTAGAGAAGAGAGCATTCATTCACCACTGGTTTAGTTTAGCTCCCAAGACTTCGTCGATCGATTTGTCAGGATAAAGTGACAACGTCGATCGATTTGGCAGGATAAAGAGACAACGCTCGCTGCTGACTCGACCGATTCCTTGGCTGTGCGAGAGTCCTTCCCACTGTTCCAACTTTCTTGGGCGATGCAAAGAAAGATGAAAGAAAGAAAAGCAAAGATGATGTTGTCTCGGGGAATGCTTTCTAAAACCCACTCCTTTCTTTTATTCAAATCCCAAAGGAAAAATCACTGCAAATATCTTCCCGGTAAGCAAGCTCTACCCAAACGCTTGCTTATATTTTTTTTGTTTTATGATGATACTACGCTGGCCGGATCAACTTGGTCATGAGACTTGACTGTACAGCAGTTACCTCTAGAGCAATCGTTGCTTATTCTTTCTCGCTTCTTCGTCCTCGTTTGATCTGTTAAAGAACTCCTCTTTCCAGTCTTCTCTATAGAATGGAAGTTAGTAGCTCCACTCGGTGGGAAGCGTCGACTCCGAGGCCTGGTGGAGATGGGAGCACGACGCGGTGTAAGTTTTCCATTGGCTGCTCGATGGCGGCCACTCTTCGTCCGCGGGGTAGCTTAAGTTGGCAGCATCAACACTTCCAGTGGGAAGTGTAGGACCGCTTCCTACAAAAACAAAGAGAAGATTGTTAAGCCAGGGAGCCATGATAATGCTAGGCCATGATCAGGAAACGCACCAGGAGGAGAGGTCCCAGGCTGCACTGACGGATAACATCGCATGTCATCGATATTTAGATTCAGTACTTGGACAATCCGCGACGGCAGAAGTACGCTCGAGCAGGCTGAAGGAAAGAGTTAGCTTGATTGAGAGTTGGAAGAAAAGTGAATAGCTTACATGATTTGCGTTTGGCGTAGTCATTGCTGCTACGAGGAAGGAAGACTCCAGTTCCGGTGGAGGACCTGTCTGCTGTTCCTCCCAGAAACACGGCACGCATGACAGAACCATTTGCTGGGGGCAGTGTCGGCCAATGCCCCACCGGACGTGGAGTTACTCCACACCGATATGTAGAGCGAGGGGCCGCAGGCGGAGCTTGCGGCTGGGCCCTGTTATGCCGATTCCAGACTGGTGCGGCCTGCTTGGAGCCTCGACACTGGAAATGAAAAAGAAAAGGAGAAAAAACGTATTCAATGAGAAAGCTGAAAAAAAACAGGAAGAAAAAGAAAAACTGGCTAGCTGCCTAAAGAAAAAAAGAAAGAAAAAGGAAATAGGTACCTGAGTGAGAGGACTTCTATCCTCTTCTTTCTGCGTCCACCCTCTCTGCACAGCAGCGGCATAAGGCTTGGCAAGGACGCACAAGGAGGAGTCATTCCCATTCCCGGCAGCGCCATACCGGACCTCGGGCAAATGACTTCCACGAGGAGAAACAAACTCCTCGACTTGCTGAAACCTGTTGCTGCTCATGTCGGCCCCTATAGCCGAATCCCACCCGTCATCAACAGCAGCTCCTCCAGGAGTTGAAGGAGGGGAGGAGACTTGAGATGAAACCTTGGAGCTGGAGCTACTGTTGATGGCGTATCCAGAACTCCAGCACCCGGCAGACCACTGAGACATCATAACCAAAAAAAACATCAAAAACTCCTTTCAGCACACAAGAAACGAAAAAGCAAGAACACAACACATACCTTTCGGAACTCCGTTGGAGATCCCATCGGCTGGTGCGGCACCGGATTCCAGCTACTTTCGCCCCACAAACCAACTCTATCTACGTTATCTACCTCACTAGTTTCGTCACTATCATCGAGCATGGAATGAGCCATTTGCTCAGCCAGCCCCGCCACGAAGTCGTCATCCTCGCTGCTCTCGGTCTCGGCAAACGAGTAGTCCGACAACAGGCCCGGAGGAGTAGAACATCCCCCAAAACAATTACTCTCCCCCCACTGGTGCTGAGAAGTCGGAGAAGCACCGCTGCTATTGCTATTGCTACTGCTACTGCTACTGCTACTGCCGCCGCTGCTACCACCCGGAATCACCACTGCTCTGGCCTCCAAACCCATCTTATTCGGCGACACCGGAAAAAAATCTCCCATTCACTGGGAGAAACGACGACCCAAGTCCCCGGGATCTGTTTTTGACTGGAGCCGTTACCTCAATGCCTGGAAGGAAAGCTCCACAACTGTGAAGAAGCGATGGAAAAACATCTTTCAGAGCCACCAAAGAGGAGATGAACAGAGCAAGCGCACAGACATCCAAGCACACAGACACCCAATGAGCAAATGGCGTAGATCTTTCGTTTTGCCACTTCCACAAGCAAGAGAGACGAAGGGGAGGAGAGGATAATAGGAACAACGCGGAAAGATGTGCCAGTCGCGCACAACACACTCTTTAAAAGTTAAAACAGCCAAGGAATCTCAAGTCGGCCCGGCCAGACAAAGAAGAGACCAAAGAAAAAAAAAGAGAAGAGAACCCCAGCACTGTAGAAAAAGCCAGTCTTTGCTTGCGAAAGCGAAGCCACGGGGGCAATGACATGGGGCGGGGGGAAATACTGGGGAAAGCCAGCTGATTCCGGCCCGAAACTCAAGGGAAAGAGAAGAAGCTAAAAATTTGCAGGCAATGCAAGAAATAAAAGATCTCTCAAGCCTGAGTCCTCGCGATCTAGGTACTTACATTCCCGGCGATGGCGATGATAAGCGAGCGCGAACAAGAATCTCGCGGAGAACACCCGGCGGCGGCCGCGATCTCTTCCACATTCCGCGCGCGCTCCGCCCATCCCTCCCTGCAATTACGCCGCCATAGCCACCGATTTAGGGCAAAGCCGCAGTAAAGCAAATTAGCCGTTATTTCCCGCCCAGTCAGCCCTAGCCCGCCGCGTCACCGTCCACCTCAGCAGCGAGCCAGGCCGTCCGATCGCAATCCGACGGCTGCAGCCGGCCGTGGAGAATATCTGCGCAGCGCTTTTGGGCGGGAATGTCTCCGTCGCGGTCTCGATTCTCGCGACTGGGCGGCATTTTTACTTTTAAAGTTTTTTTGGTTGTTTTGAAAATCGCCCGCGCGACCATCTCAATGTTGTGAGCGGCGGGAATTTTATAACTCACAACAAAACCGTTTGGTGTTAAAATGGACCGGAATCTCCACCAGTATCAGAATCTCTATATAATCTATGATTCATGCATGCCATTGTTGTTGTTAGATTTAAGAGTATGGCGAAGAATCGGCCTGGGACCATTCTATTTATTTGTATCTTTTCAACGTAGGATCATATCAAAGACAAACCCTACCACCCTAATCTATCCAAAAGAAAAGGTATCGTGACTATCATGTCAAGTTGAAAAATCCTCACCAAATAAATCATCGACAGCAGACACCAAACCCTAATTTCGCCGCCGCGCCACCTTAAAAGATCCCGCTGCCTGGTGTCGACATCACGGAGAATATCCGCAGCTTGTCACGTAGCTCATTTTTTCTTGGAACAGAGCTGGGCTGCATTTACGTGCAACACACGTTGGCCGTATTTTCTTTCTCCAACTTTTAAAAACTCTGCGCGTGGGCGCAAAATATTCTCACTATGCTCACTTGACAAGGAGCTCCGCCTTGAGCTTCAAGCTCACCAGCAAATCCTCGAAACTTTTCTTGAAGGAATCCACCCCTTCGATCTCGAGGAGCGAGCCAACGTCGTCCCACCGGATCCCCAGCGCTTCGATCTTGTCGTAAATCTTTTGGGCTCCATCCACGTCCGAGTCTAAAGTTCTCGCCAGCGTCCCGTGATCCACAAACGCCTCCAGTGCATTTCCAGGCATCGTGTTCACCTGCGCGTGTCAAGACATGGATTTTTCTATCAGTGACAAAAGAGAAAGATCTAGTCGCTTTACCGTGTCAGGGCCGATCAAAGTGTCGATGTAAAGAGTGTCGGAGTATGCCGGGTTTTTCACGCTCGTTGAAGCCCACAAGAGTCTCTGCTTCCTGGCTCCACGCTTTTTCAGTGCTTCCCAGCGAGGTCCCGAGAATTTCTTCTCGTAAAGTTGGAAAGCCAGAGCTGCCTGTGCAACGGCTGCCTGCATGAAGAACGCAAAGAGAGGAAGTCAGGAAAAGGAAAAACTTTGTCTCGTCACCTTGCCACGCAGCTGGAGCGCCTCGTCGGTGCCAATCTCATTCAGCCTTTTATCAACGAGAGTGTCGACCCGGCTTACAAAGAAGGAAGCCACACTCGAGACGCCCGAGAGATCTCCTTCTCTAGCTTCGAGTCCATCGAGATATGCATCGATTACAGCTTCATATCTTGGGAGTGAGAATATAAGCTGTTACGCAAAAAAAAGAAAAGAAGAGGAAATTAAAAAAAATTAAGTAGAGAATTAAGAAGCTTACGGTGACGTTAACACTGATGCCGAGGGAGATGGCGCTTCTGATTGAAGGAACACACTCAGCCGTCGCAGGAATCTTCACGTAGACATTGGGACGATTGACCTCCTTGTGCAGCCATTTTGCGGCGTTGAGCGTCTCGTCTGTCTCATGCGCGAGTAAAGGTGACACTTCCACAGAGACGTATCCATCTTCGCCTTTGCTGGAGCTAAAAACACCAAGGAAAAGGTCGCAAGCATCCTGGATGTCTTTGATGACCATTTGCCAATAAGCATCCTCCACTTTGCTACCACCCTGTACCAGCTGCCTGAAAAAAACAAGAGTAGAAAAGCAAACACTAAGTCAAAGTTTCTACGAACCTGAACTGTGGATCATAAGCGTCGGAGGAGGAGATGGCTTTCTGGAAAATCTATCACAAGGAAGAAGAGAAGATTTGAGAAAGAAAAGACGTTGTTCTCGACCACACTCACCGTGGGATTGCTCGTTACTCCTCGGACGCCACTGTCGATGAGTGGCTGGAGATCCGTGACAGGGCGCCTGAGATTGTCATACCATGGACTTTGCTGGTGTTTGCTATAGAGCTCGTGAAGAAGCGTAAGTTTCTCCACCTTGGAGGGCGTTTCTAGCACCATACATTGCACTCTAGTGAAAGCACAGTGTTACTTAGCACACACACACACACACACAAAGGAGAATACCTCAAACCCTGCGGATCACGGGTGTTCTTGAGCGGTATCACACATAATCTCTGTGTAGAGGAGCCACCGGCCGAGAACCTAGTAGCATCAGATCGCGAAAGACCTAGCGAGCTTAAGGATTGCGCCTTGAGTAACGCCATGCCTGCCGGAACACAAGATTTACCAAGCTCGTGAGCGAAAGATTTTCACAAGAGAATCGATCGATGATCGCAACCTAGAACCACAAATGCAGCAGAGATCGCAGGGTTTTACCTGATATCGAGCGTGGACCGCGCGCTCGACCCTAGACGACTGCGATCGGGCACAAAGAGAGCTCGCCCCTAGCTCCTCGCGAGAAGCCTATTTACTTTGACACTTTGATGATAAGCTTGGATCCAACGGTGGCTTCGGGGCATCTCAACGGCCGAGATGAATTCAAAGTGGTCTTCTCTGACCAGTAGGCACGACTTCCACGTGGTAACATCCAACGGCTGACATTCAAACGGTAGCTGCTGACTTGGCAAAAATAAAGGCGCGACGCTTTACCGTGATCACATTAAAGAGGAGCTCTTTGGTTGAGAAAGAAGAGACATTGGAGGAAGGAAACGATGGTGCGATCGACAAGAACACGAAGCCGCGCGGCTGCCAGGGCGGCGCCGCCATCGCTGATGCGCAGGAGGAGGCGACGACGCAGAGTAAGATCTTAGATCAATCAGGAAGTCATGACGAGAGATCTTTCTTCCTGCCCCAAATCCCCTAAAACCCTATTCCCTCGCTCGCAGCGCCGAAGAAGAAGAAGAAGACACGCCAAGCCTGCGTCAGGCGCTAGTGGATCCTCACGGAGTGACGAGTAAATCCATCGCTATCGACTCGACCGCATCGATGATCTCATCCATAGCAAGCAAAAGAAAATTTCTTCCAATGTATCAATCCATCGCCAGGGAATAAAATAGCGAGCTCGCCTCGTCGTCTTTGCTTTTCCAGGGAAGAGTCCACCATCTTTATAAACACGTGGCCCGCTTTCATTGGACCATGCCCATCAACGGCTAATAGTCATCCATTCTTCTGTGAAGGGAGATTTTTAGGTTTTGTGTGGAGGACGAAATGCCTGTGCCCGTCGTCGACAATGCGTACCTCAAGGCGATCGAATCCGCCAGGCGCGATCTCCGAGCTTTCATCGCCGAGAAGAATTGCGCGCCTCTGATGCTGCGATTGGCGTAAGTTTCCACTCTTGATTCCAGCTCCTCTTGATTTCTAGCTCTCTCAGATGGCACGATGCTGGCACTTACGATGCCGTGTCCAAGACTGGAGGACCGAATGGCTCGATCCGGAGCGAGCGGGAGTACACTCACGCTGCCAACAATGGGCTCAAAATTGCCATTGATTTCTGTGGTGAGTGCTACTTTTTGGAGATTATATGCTATAGAAACATTGTTTCGCAGAGCCTATCAAGGAGAAACACCCGACTATCACTTACGCGGATCTCTACCAGGTGCATGGATTTTCTTTTTTCTTTTTGTGGTAATGGTCAATTTTAATTTTTCTCGCTTATCAGCTAGCTGGAGTTGTGGCTGTAGAGGTAACTGGAGGACCTACGATCGATTTTGTGCCTGGCCGAAAGGTTTCGTTTCTGTTTGAGCTCTTTTTGATCAGTAGAAAACATGAAACTTGTCCATAGGATTCCGTCGCTACTACACCAGAAGGACGACTTCCCGATGCTCATCTAGGTTTGTATCATTCATTCTATGTAGCTATGAGTTTACAAGCTCGGGATGGCTGTTTTTTTTTTTTCAGGGGCAAAACATATCCGTGACGTGTTCTTTAGAATGGGTCTTTCTGACAAAGATATCGTCGCCCTCTCGGGAGGCCACACAATAGTAAGTCTCTCCTGTTTTATAGAACAATAAAAGTTTGTTTTTTCTTTTTCTTCTTTTTTTTCAGGGAAGAGGCCACAAGGAGAGATCCGGCTTTGAGGGACCATGGACACCACAGCCATTGAAGTTCGACAATTCGTACTTCAAGTAAGTCTCAGCTCTTTACTCTCTTTTTTTGGTGTCTTACGTATAGTCCGAACAAACACTAGAGAGCTCTTGAGAGGAGAATCAGAGGGCCTCTTGCAGCTGCCAACAGACAAGTGTTTGCTCGAGGATCCGTCCTTCCGTCCATACGTGGACTTGTATGCAAAGGTATCGTCAAAAAAACAAAAGCTTTTGGAAGTTTTCTGAGACTCACTCACTATGACGATACTGTGATGATCCAGGACGAGGACGCATTCTTCAAAGATTACGCCGAGTCTCACAAGAAACTCTCGGAGCTGGGATGCAAGCACACCTCTCCAGCGTTTGGAAACGCAAAGGCATCGCCAGCTGTGGATTCTCACGCGAGCACTGCGACAGTACTGGCTCACAGTGCGTTTGGCCTCGCGGTTTCAGCCATCGTCGTCGTTCTCAGCTACGCTTACGAGGTTCGCAGGAAGACTGCTCTCAAGTAGAACGACGTAAACAATGAAGCAACGCTCGGCCAATCTGGGCCGTCGATCTAAGTTAACAAACCCGAGAATATGCTTTATTTGTAAAAAAGGGAATCTATCTGGGGTTTTCATTAGGGTTTATGCGGCAATGGCTATGGCGCCCTCGCTGCGAATCGGCGGCCGCATTGCCTCGTCCTTCCTCGGCATCAACAGCTGCAATGGAGCAAGGAAGTGCGTGAGCAGCAACGGCAGCAGCAGATCAGGGCATTTGTTAGTGGTTTTTCGAGGTCAGTTCTCGGCCTCAGCACCTAGGAGGGCAAAGGGAAGCGCGGCGACGGAGTGGCACGACTCTGCGGATGCGTATTTCGGCGCCAAAGATTCAATTGGGAGTGTAGATAGTAGTTTGGCCGAAGGGGAGGATTTCGCGACGCATTCCAAGCGCAGCGCCAGGATTGCCGCGAGGCTATCAAAGAATTCCGAGGAGGCGACGGAAGAGCATGACAGAAGAAACAGCCCAGCTAAGTTTGAGGATAGGGGGCTGAGCGTTCCTGCCAGGAAAAAGGACTCTTTTTCGATTCAGGAGGAAGAAAGCAATGTGGCTAGCAGTGATCCGGATGACGAATTCGAAGAAGCAGAGGATGAGCGAGAACGGAAAAGATTTTTGCCGACTGGAATGAGAAGACTCAAGCGAGGATATGGAAGAAACGACATGAGAGGGAACGATATGAGGAGATACTATGATCCAAGAGAGATCGACGAGAAACCATCGGAAGTTCCAGCACTCAGAGGCGAGGCACTGTATGGGATTGGTCCCGTGAGAGCGGCACTCCAGGCGAGGAGAAGAGATCTATACGTGCTCTACATCCAGAATGGTCTCGACGAGAAACATCCCGGGAAGAGGAAAGCTCTGGCCGATGTGCTCTGGATCATGAAGGCCGCCAAGCGCTTGGAGCTCCGGGTAGAGACGACATCCAAGCACGCACTCAACGTTCTCGTCGACAACAGGCCTCACCAAGGGATGGTTTTGGATGCGTCACCTTTGGAGATGGTTGATATCTCGGCTCTGGATCGTCCCGACGCTATGCTGGCGAGAGCTCCGGTCTGGGTTGCTCTCGACGAGGTGAAAGATCCTCAGAACTTCGGCGCCATCCTGAGGTCGTCACACTTCTTCGGGGTTTGCGGGGTGGTGGTGTGCTCCAAAAACTCGGCACCGCTGAGTGGAGTAGTGAGCAAAGCCAGCGCCGGGGCCTTGGAGATGATCGATCTCCTTTCCTGCAAGAACATGATGATGTTCTTGAGGGACTCGGCTGACAACGGGTGGAGAGTGATTGGAACTTCCAACAGCCCCGAGAGCGAAGTCTTGGGCGATCTTCCAAAGAACGTCCCGACAATTCTGGTGCTGGGAAACGAAGGAGTTGGGATCAGGCCCTTCGTCAAGGCGGCGTGCACACACATGATCCGGATCCCAGGCGCTCTTCCTTTCCGGAGGCCCAGGAAAGCTTCGAGAATCGAGGAGGAGGCGGCTGCTCAAGTGGAAGCGAGCAGTGGCAGCGAACTAGCACTGAAAGCCGCGGTTCGCTACGAGATGATGAAGCTCAACTCGGAGGCGGATTGCGTTCTAAGGCCAGGAACCGTGGACAGTTTAAACGTGAGCGTTGCTGCTGGAGTTCTTCTTCACGAGCTCACGAATTTCTCGACAAAGTCACCATCGCCATTGAAGCTCCCGGCTTGATAAAGTCCAAGACTCTGGTATGGACTTTTTCGCGATTCATCGTGAAAAATCTAAGTTTTCAAGTTCCTTGTTGAAATGTTCTTCGCGGGCAGCGATCGAGTGGCACAGCTGGTGGCCCGCGGTTGGGCCACGTAACGTGATTCACTGCAAAATCATTGTGTACTATGTTAGGGTGGGCGCTAGGGTTTGGGATTAGAGGCGTTAGGGTTCTTGAGAATGCGTCGCCGGATCTCTCTCGGCGCTGGATCGCTGCGCACCTGATCTGTGCGCATTTTTCCCTGAGCTGCCGCGCGATTGCAATCTCTGCGTCAATGACAGGGAAGGCAAGAAAACGACATTGCGCAAGCTGAAGCGAGCAGGATAAGTACGAGGTATGGTTTTTATTCGTTTTCTGAGCTGATAGCTCTTACATTCCCTCGGATTGTCCAGGTATTGCCGGCTAGAAGTCCCAAAAAACGATTTTTTCTACAAAGAATGCAGTGAATGCTGTCCCATTTGGCAGACTTTCTCAAGCTTGCATCCTCGTGGATTGCAAACTGCACGGCGTGTATGGGGTGCGTAGGAACAACCATTCTTTTGATTCGTCTTTCTTTTCTCGATCGAGATATACTAGTGATGTTTGTTCTTTGCAAACTTTTGCTGGATTTTGCAACAGAGCAGTGGCTGTGTTGGCGTCTTCAAAAAATCCCCGCCTGTAAGAAGTGTGGACAAATCGAGGAAGCACAAGGCGGCCAAGCGGGGGTCTCACGGGCATGGTCCGCCGCAGAAGGATTGGTGGTCATCCAGCTCGAATGATATGGATAACAATCTGACAAACTCCAGATCTTCGCAGAGGAGCACGTCGTCGATCAGTGGTGTCAATCACAGCTTGGATAGCATCAACGCCGCCAACAATGGTGGCTACATTAATAACGGTGGGTTCTTGTTTCTTCCGCCAAAGTTACTCTTTTCTTTCTCTCGAAGGGTCTAACTTTGCCTCAGGGAACAGCTTTAACTTTATGGACTGAGCAGCGAAGACTCTGGATTGGAGATCGTCAAAGAAACCGATCGCAAGACCCTCGTGAAGCGGCAGCGAGGTAAGCCAGAGCTGTGCTGTTCGTGAGCTTTGCTGAGATCATTCGTTCTCTTTTTTTTTTGTTTTTGGTTGTCTTTCTTGCAGCTGGCGCCCGACTTACGACGATCTTTTGTCAAACCATCGTCCGCAGGATTTGCTAGCGACGAATCGTCCATTCCCTCAGCCTATACCTCTACCCGTAAGTTTTTCTATTAAAGGCTTGGCTAGAAGTCTGGTAGCTTGTCAAAGTGTTGTTGGACATGAATCACGATCTCACTGGTGATTTTGGTGTGATCTTCCAGGACATGATCGATTTCCTGGTGGATGTGTGGGAACAAGAGGGCCTCTACGACTGATGGAGTTTTAGAGTTTCCATCCGAGCTTTCGCCTATCTACAAGATCACGTACACACACACACACACACACAGGATTGAGAGGAGCGAATTGAGTTTCTGGTTGTATCAACAGACTGGTTTTTTTTTTTTCTTACAGGAAACGAAAAAGAGAGAGAAAATTCCCTCGGAATATTTCTTTCGTGTATTAAAGATGCCCGTTTAAGTTGGTGGTTAACTGATAGTAATGATAATCAAAACCTCTGGGCGAGCTGTCACTCTCTCTCCACAGAAAGGACCTTTCACTGACCGCTCCCTTTCGTCCACAGGACGACCTACCGATCCAACCACTAGGGAGCGATGGCGATCCACGTGGCGTTGTCTGGTTGGGCATGGCTTGCTACCCGACAGTGGTCTTTCACCGGAAGAGACTCACCGACACCGGTAAACCATCTTTCCGGCGGGTTTCATAGAGTAAGAACTACGGTTTTATTCCATCTTTCCCTTTGGCTAGAAGGGAGGAGCGCCAGGGTTTCCTCGATCGATCGATTCGCAAATGCGGCTGCCAGGCGATGTTTGATGCGCTTCCAGCTCTCGACTGATCCAAGCGGCGCCTTGTGTGGAGGTATGGTTGTGTTCTTCCCGAAATATCTTCCTCCCGGGGTGATTCTAGAGCTCTGGCAGTGAATGCAGGCGAGCTAGAGGCAAGATTTGCGATCCGAGCCCTCGCGGAGTGCCAGGATGTATCACAACATGTGGGGCGGGCCTCTGGAGGTCTTCCAGTTGGAGGGCCACGACGATGACCAGAGCCGGAGCATGGAATTGGATCGAGCGGCGCTCCAGAAGCTCGAGGAGACGCAGCAGAGCTGGCTGCTTGGAGCTGGAGAGAAGAAGAAGAAGCAGGTCGTGGATCTAGGCTGCATTGTTTGCAGTAGGAAGCTCTTCACGGGGATTGTCACGGCATTGGTCGCGGTTGGGCTTATCATTGGGTTCACGGTGCTGATCGTCAAGACAGCGCCCAAGCATCGCCGCCACGCTCCTCCTCCGGATAACTACACGGTGGCGCTCCATAAGACTCTCATGTTCTTCAATGCCCAAAAGTGTAAGCTCGCTCATAGCTCCTAGGTGGTAGCATTTCATTTCTCTTAGAACTCTTTCGCTAAGTTGGCCTTTCTTTTTTCTTTTCTTTGCAGCTGGGAAGCTCCCGAAGCACAACAACGTATCTTTTAGAGGCAATTCTGGCATGCAAGATGGGGTGGATCCTGGGATCCACGGTAACTTGATCGGGGGCTACTACGACGCTGGTGACAACATCAAGTTTTTGTTCCCGCAGGCCTACACCATGACTCTTCTCAGCTGGAGTGTGATTGAGTACCGTGCCAAGTACGAGGCGGCCGGCGAGCTTGCGCATGTCACGGAGCTTATAAAATGGGGAATGGACTACATTCTCAAGACTTTCAACTCGACGGGGCTCCAGATTTACAATGAAACCACCACTCACATCGACTACATCTACGCACAAGTACGTTGAAATTCTCGCATGTTTCTATGGTGATTGTGTCCTGATGAAGTTCTCCAAACTCTTTCTTTTATAAAGGTTGGTACTGGCACAACCGGAGGCGATGCCACAGCTACTGCCACTCCAAACGATCACTCTTGCTGGGAGCGACCAGAGGACATGGATTATCCTCGCCCGGTTTCCCAGCTCGGCACGGGATCAGACTTGGCTGGTGAAATGGCCGCGGCACTTGCGGCCGCTTCCATAGTTTTCAAGGACAATGCACCGTACTCCCAAAGGCTAGTCAATGGTGCAAGGGCACTCTTCAAGATGGCCAGGGAAAAAAGAGGTCGCTACAGTGCTGGTGGATCTGATGCAGCCCAGTTTTACAACTCGTCCGGATACTTTGACGAGTTTCTATGGGGTGGAGCTTGGTTATACTATGCTACAGGAAACTCGTCCTACCTACAGCTAGTCACAACATATGGTATTGGAAGGAACGCCGGAGCCTATGGAGGAGGTCCATACTACGGTGTTTTCGATTGGGATAACAAGCTTTTTGGTGCGCAGGTAATGTCGACCAACGCTCTTTGCTCTCGTAGTAACTTACAGGTGTGTTACAGGTGCTCTTGACGAGACTGAGAATTCTACAAAGCCCTGGATATCCTTACGAAGAAGTGCTGAAGAATTTCCACAACCACACCAATCTTGTGATGTGCTCTTACCTCCCACTGTACAAGAGGTTTCCTAGAACACCAGGTAATGGTTTTTGCTTCTTGTGTTTTTATATATGCATATATAATACTGGCTTGCTCTGTTCCAGGCGGGTTGATCATTCTGAATCGTGGAAATCCCGCACCTCTTCAGTACACGGCCAATGCTGCGTTTCTCGCTGTGTTGTTCAGTGACTACATGATCGCTGGAGACGTTCCTGGATGGTATTGTGGCTCTCAGTTCTACACAGCAGACACAATGCGCAACTTTGCGAAATCCCAGGTTCGCCGCTTCCTCTCTTATGCTTCATATCTCTCACACGCCTTTGCCTTTCTCCACAGGTGGACTACATTCTGGGAAAGAACCCGCGGAAGATGAGCTACGTCGTGGGATACGGCAACAAGTATCCCAAGCAAGTACACCACCGAGCGGCATCCATCCCCAAGAACAAGCGAAAGTACGGGTGCCAGGAAGGCTGGAGATTTCGAGACAGCAAAAAGGCCAACCCAAACACCATCGTCGGCGCCATGGTTGGAGGGCCAGACACCAAGGATCGCTTCCACGACGTGAGAAGTAACTACAACTTCACGGAGCCAACGCTGGCCGGGAACGCTGGCCTCGCGTTCGCGCTGGTGGCACTGTCGGGAGGCGATTCATCGTCGGGGGTGGACGCTTCGAACATCTTCTCGGCGATTCCACCGCAGTACCCGGCTCCTCCTCCGCCATCGCCTCCCTGGACTCCGTGAAGGCAAGTAGGAATAACAGCGCTCGAAGTCTTTGACGCTGATCTCGACGTGCCTCGATCTAGTGTAAAAGAACAAGGTTAAGTCAAGTGAGAAGCAGCACCTTATATAGGGATCATTTGTAGTACACCACCGCCATCTTTGTCGTCCCTTGGTTAGCAAAACCTTGAGCATGCTCTCCAAATGAGACCACTCCATGGGACAGCAGATGCCGCTGCTCTCCACAAGCCTGGCCTGCGAGAATCCCACCAGCATACCAACGTAGCCTCCACTCTGGGCCTCTGAGACGGCTACGTTGGTAAACAGAAGCTCCCCACGGTTGTCCATGCCGCACACAGCTTCTCTGCATCCCTGCGCTGCAGCTTTGGCAGCTTCTGGCGAGCACTTGCGGTGCAGGAGCGGTATGTCCCCAACTCTAGTGTCGGACATCATGAGGAACGAGAACATCCCCCCGATGGAAGAAGGCCAGCGAGTAGAGCACGGGGATGCCCGCTTCCCTGATCGTCTTGCTGAGCTCCTCGTCCTAGCGATCGCACAGATCCCTCAGCTTGAGTACCACCGGCTTACTTTTCCCACTCGAACCACGCAGGATGAGGAAGAGCACCTCCACAAACTTAAACTTGGTGGTCACACTTTTTAGTTTTAACTTCCTATATATAAATAATAATATAAAAAAAAGTTATTGTATTTTATAGTTCTAATTTAAATTGTTCAACTGGTAGAAATTCAAATACTAAATCTTAAAAATCTGGATTATAATTTCTAATTAATACATATAAATATATTAGTATAGATACAGATTTAAGTTCATGCAAAATTTCTAGTATAGTTTCTGAAATTTAATATAATATATTTCTGTGGTGGAATATAATGAATATTAAACAAATAACTTGCTTTTCCTAAATTTATTTTTCAATTGTGTGATACAACTTTAACAGCTTTATTTACAAGATTCAATAATTTTTAATTGGTCATTTCTAAAGCCACTAAATGGTAGAAATATATTATTATGTTACTGTCCAACTGTAAAATTAAATTATATTCAGAAAAAAATATTTATAATCATCTAATAAGTAATATCACCAAAATATTTATTTCTTACATTATATATATTACTCTTCAAGATTATTGTAATATTGTTATGTAAAATTAAAAAACTCTAAATTACTCATTTTAAAGTTCATGTAAGACTTTAAACTTAGAAATATTGACTATAATATAATTACTATTGTCATGGATAGGTCAATTTAATTATTTCACATTTTCACATGGAAACTCCTTAATTCCTCTCACTTTCAAATAAACTCCCTTACAAAAAATTTTATTCCTCTTGATCACTAATTTAAGATATAAATTAGTCCATTTGTTCAAGAAGCTAGACAATGAATTTCTTTCAAAGCTTCTTCAACTTTATAATGATTGTAATTTTGGAATGGGCTCCTTTATCAATATACAGATTTATATGTATATGATGGTGAGGTATATTATCCAAACATGCTATGACATCCTTAGCAATGAAACTTTAGTGTCTCATTAAAATTGATTTAATAGCAATTTTAGTAGCCCTATATACATAAGTATGTTGAACAATTTGTTCATACTTATTATTTATATTAACAAATCAAGATGCCTCAATATACTTTGTTCAGTCTTCTCCAACCTTTTCCTCTTGCTTGAGGGTTTTAGAAATTTATCTTTATGGATTTCTTTATTGATCTTCTACCTTCTCAAGATAAAAAGATATGATGTAGTTTATATATAAGTTTTATTATTTGCTCATGTTTAAATTTATATGAGTTTTTTGGTTTAAAAAAAAATGAACTGATATGTGTTTTATATTATATAACAGTTTCTATAACAATTTCATTTACTTATTTAATAAAATGTTTATACTATAAGAGTTTAGTTTAGGTTATAATTGTTTTATTATCCATCTAGAACCACCAGACCACCACCTTCAGTCCATTTCAAAACAATGAGAGTGTTATGCAATACTTAGCTTGTTGCCTTGAGTTAAAAATGTGATGAAGGATTTGGCCCGTCTCCTGGAAAATCACTTAATCTCTTGATGCTTAAAAAGGAGAGTTCTAGTTACACATAAAACACCTCACACTTGCAATATATATGAGCACTTAGTTAGAGCTTTGACTATTGTTCTGGTGTTGGAAAAAGAAGTTTAAATACAAATGGCAGTCGGGGTGTACCATGGTTGCTGGCTTTCTTTGGAATGCCTGGCAGGAGAAGTTTCTCGATTGCTGCTGAGTGTTGCGGGGATGCACCAGCCATCTACCTTGTCTCCTGCACAAAGAGAGGAACTTCTCTC